GATGTCGTCCCACTTGTGTATTTTATAAATATTTATAACTATGCATATTACACTCCATAAATATTTGCGCTACTTGCATAATTTATTCATACAACACACAAATTTCAATATTAGATATTCTATATATTTTGTAGTTATGTTACTTATTAAAATTTTATTTTATAATTTAATCATTTCAAATGATTTCTTTAAAAGAGTGCTGGCTGGTCTCCAAGCGTCTGGAAGTTCTCCTGCTGCTCACGGCTCATTGTCGGACGGTGGCTGCAGAGCGCGGTACGGTTTCAGCGCGTCGACTCCGGCTGCTATGCGGACCATCCTCCTCCCTCCGTCCTCCGGGGGGCCCGACTGTGCGTGAAGTCTCAGAAGCTGACACCCCCCCCCCACGTTTCGCTGCTGTGACCACACACGTTGCTGACCCCGCAGCGCGCGGCGGTTACCCGTGCTACGTCCCTTCCGTGTCGCGTGCCCGACGACGTCCTTATTCCGACTCCACTTTCAGGGATACTCAGTGGCCACAGCAGGCCAGACGGCGGCTTCTCTTTGGGGACATCAGGGTGCCCGCCCGCCGTCCCCTCCTGGCGTCATTCCTGGCCAGGGACCCGCCGTCTTCCTTCTCCTCGCTCCTCTGTTCTCTACTGGCTGCTTCCGAGTCCTTAAACGTATCCTGCTTCAGCAATTAGGTGAGGACTCGGGGTGGTTTTCTTCATGTTCCTGCGTGTGGGGTTCGTGGGGCTTCCTGGGTCTGTGGTTCGTTGTTTTCATCAAACTGGAAAATGTGGACATTTCTTGGCCACCAGGTCGTCGCACACTTCTGCTGCCCTGCAGCGGTTCTGGACAGACTTACGCCGTCACCTGCAGCTGTCCCACAGCTCAGTGACGCCCCTTCGCTTTGCACAAGGTCCGTCCTCGCTGCACTCGGGGCAGCCGCGACGGTGAATGTCCTGCCGCGACGTTTAGGGGTCGATCCCGACCGGCCTGTCTTCCGGGTCACACTCTGGTTCCCTCTCCAGAAGGTTCAGCAGAGCCCTGGATGCCTTCCATGTCTCAGTGGAACATCTTCCGAGGAGACTCCGAGCAACCGTCTCCGTGTCCTTGTCGGCTAACCCTAACCTCTGTGACGACGCACAGTGGGTTCGGGGGTTTTCCTCCTTGATGCAGGTCACACCTTCCCGCTGTGTCACGTGCCTGGCCGTTCTGCTTGGCAGTGGGGGGTTCAGGGTAACCTGGCACACGGGTGACCTGGGAAGAGACGCTTCTGGGACCCAATTCCTCGGGGAACAACAGGAAGGGCTCTCCTCATCCCAAGTCGTGCCTTCTGTCCCACCACTGTCCCCACAGGAGGCCAGACGGATTCCGCCTCTCTCCGAGGCCTTCAAGGTGGCACAGTGTACTCTAGACATGCCCGTGGCTCAAGAGGGGGCCCTGGATTCGCCCCCCAGCTAGGGCCCCGCCTGATGGGCCGGCCCCACTCTCAAGCCCCGGGGAAGTGCCCTGAGAGGAAGGCGCGGCCCGGTGCGGGGACAGAGCCCGGGCACTGCAGACCTCAGGGTGCACTCCGTGCAGGCTTTGATCTGAAGTGTGGGCATCCCTGCGTGGAAACACCGTGCGCTCTGACCCCGTGGTGGCCGCGCCAGCGACACGGGGGCTCTGCACACAGCACGAGCTCCCACAGAGGCCGGCGGGGACCCAGCGTGACTTTGGACGTGAAGGAGGGAGGGGACCCGTCCCGGGAAGCACACGGAACTTTAGTCTCTGGAAAACCACCCGAGTAGCCGTGAAAGGGAGGGAGGAGGTAAACGGCCTCAGCCTCAGCCGCAAGCCCGTCGACGTGTCTCTCAGAAGGACGGTCGCCTTCAAGTAAGCAGGTGCGGCAAGCCGGCTGGGAAATGAGCTCACGGAAAGGTCCCTGGCACCTGTAGGCACTGGCAAGAACGTCGCGGGTGAGGGCATTTCCCGCTGGCCACGGGGACAGCTGCTCAAGCGTTTCTGAACGTGTAAACCCTTCAGCGCCGAGCCCAGGGGAAGCACACGGCTCTGAGGCGCCCGCACAGTCGCGGAACACGGCCGCGGCAGCCGGTGTGCCCGCGGCTGAGAGCTCGCCTTGGGCGCTGGACGAGCAGAGCCTGGACACAGGTGGGCCCGGGAGCTGGTTTCCTCCAGGTTCCCAACACCCAAGTCGGGCGACCGCTGCAGATCGCACGGGAGCACGGCGGCGAGGGGCGGCTCAGAAAGGCTCACGCTGAAGCCGGAACAGACCCCCAGGACTAGAAGGAAACACGGTCTAGTCCCGGGTCCTCAAAGGTCCTAAACATCCTGTGAGGACAAGAACGTGGCGGCCCCAGGGCGGGGAGGTGGGCTCGGGGGCACCCTCCTCCGTCCCCTGCTTCCATGGGCTTCGGTCTAAGGGGGCCCTTCATGCACCCAAGAACCGAGTACCGGTAGCGATGCATTTGCAAGCGTCCGGAAGACCGAGCGCTGAAGGAGAGCGAGTTTCGGAGCGGCTCCCTGGAAGAGCCTCCCGCTTGCCCGGCTCGGCGCGTCGGCGCCAAGGCAGAGGGCAGAACTGAAACGACAGAGGGGCAGCCTCCCCACCCGGACCACCAGCTCCTGGTCCAGCGGGAAAAGGTTTCCTGGACCCGACAGCAGCCGGGCAGATGCGAGACTCCGGCTTTTATTCCTTTTATTCTAAAGTTTCCAGGGCGGCTTCGTGGGAGGTCAGGGCGCTCACCTCCGTCCCCGCTGCTGGGAGCTCAGCGGCGACAAGCGTACAGAGGGCCATGCGACGGGGAGTGGGAGCTCGCTCAGGTAAACGAGGGCAAGGGGACTCAGACTCGTTCTAGCTCTGAAATCTAGTGTTTTGGTCCATCTTTGAGGCCGTTGCTTATCTGAAGTCAGTTCAGTGGGCAGAAAAGCAAGTATTTTGTCAGAACGTGCGATGTCCCGAACATCCCGTGAAGCTGAGAGCGACAGAACGTTCTGCGGACACAGCGTGTGCGGGGCGCTGGGCCAAGAAGGGTCAGGGCGGAATGGGAGTCGCCGTAAGGCTGGGCGGCCCCGACAGAGAGGCGAGGGCGTTCACGCCACCAAGAAGACCACGGAGACCAAGCCCGTCCACGGGGAGCGGATCACTGCGTTTGACCAACTGCATGCGCGGGTTCCTGGTCCCGGACCAGGAAACGTCCCCAGCAGACGGGGACAGAGCCACCTCACTGCCTTGCTTGCAGACAGTATGACCACCTGTGCAGAGCGGCCGAGAGAACCTTCCGTCCACGGCTGGCACTACACGGTTCAGCAAGGCCGCCGCTCGAGATCAGTACACAAAAACAGTGGTAACCGCGCGGTGCGACTGGGGGTGCACCTGGAGGTGCCGGTGCTGTGACACGTTTGCTGGGAGCACCCGCGACACTCTCATCCCCTGCAGCCGTCACCCCAGCTTTGGGCCTCATGCAGAGTTCTGGCTGCCTCAGGGGTGTGCAGGTGGCCACAGCGTCCCAGTGTGTGAGGACCCAGTCCCACGGCAGCCTGGAGCGGCAGGCGCTCGTTCTCGGGACAGCAGAGGGCGTAGTGAGCAGAGAGCAGCACGCAGGACTGAGGTGGGAGCACGAGGAGGGTTGCCTGGCCGTGCCCAGACCCAGCCTCCCACTGGCTGTGGCCGGGGAGGGGGCTGGCCCAGGGAGGGTGACAGGGTAGGATCCCAGTCCCCTCCCTGCCCACGGAACCCTTCAAGCAACCGACCCTCGGGCCATCGGCACTTTCTCCCCATCTCTGTGTCCACGGTTCTTCGGAAGCTGACCGCCCCGTGTGATGGCCTCTTCTGGGGGTCTCAGTTCCCCGCCCAGCGCCCAGCCTCACTCTGGAGCCCCCTCTGTGTTCTGAGTCAGACCTCCAGCCCCGGGAACCCCCTTCACTCTCCTTTTGTAGCTCTTTGTTCTCCACTCCCCATTGGGGTGGTTGTGCGGGCTCGGTGGCAGGGTCACAGGGCATAAGAGGTTCCTGCCTCCACTCCTCAGGCACGGGTCCGCCTCACCCGGGGTCTCCCGAACAATCACTCATCACGTCCGCCCCTCCTCCCCAGTAGCCCCCTCCTCAGCTGACCCAGTCTCCTTTAGACCAAGGCCAGACATTTAAAAGCCACAGTTTGGATCTTGCTGTGTCTTTGTTCCTGAATCTTTACTGGTCCCTCTTGATGGGCTAAAGGAAGTGGGACACCGTCCACTTCGAGGGCTCCTCGCACATGCCTCCAGCACCCCAGCCCAGGGGGGCCACCTGCCCTCCCCGTCCCCCGCACAAGCTGTCCCCTGTCTCCACCCATTAGTGCCCCTTGCACTGAGTTCTCAGGGCCCCCACCCTCACGGCACAGTCTCCCATGGCATGGTGGCTTCCCCTGCAGCAGAGGGCTTCGACCTACGGGACGTGAGCCTGTCCAAGGCAGAGACCACCGCCTTCTGCGTCCCCTACAGCCTTTAGCCTGGTCCTGCCCAGCTCTTGGTGGAGTACGGGCGTGACTGCAGCCCCACAGGCACGAGGACAAGGAGGGGGATGGCTACTGGAGAGCAGAGCTGCAGGAGACTGTCCCCAGGGTCAGGGAAGGGGTGGGAGGAGCAGAGGCTGTAGACGGAGGGCCTGGTGGGCGTCCAGGGAGGCAGGGCTGAGTTCAAGAAGGAGGGGCTCGGGGTCATTTCCTGCTAGAGGCCTGGAGGGGATAGGGAGGAGGCAGTGTGTAGCTTTAGGGAGCAGGACTGGGCCCCAGAGGGATGCACCTCCCTTATTCTGGAAGGAGGGGGACCAGCAGTGCCTGGAGAAGGGGTGGGGGACGGCAATGGCACCAGAGGCAGATGCTGGGGTGAAGGTAGGTTAAGAAATACAGGGTGGTTGCAGGGGGAGAGAGGACATAGCGTCAAGGTGGGCAAACCAGCCACGCGCGGCACCTCCGTGAGCCCCCGGGCCGGCTAACACACGGGGACCGCCTGGCACCAGCAGGGAGGACGCGGACTACTCACACTGTCCACGGCAAGGATCTTGGCCCAGATGAACACCAGAAGGGGCCGCAGCTCTCTGGCTGAGCTCTGGAGCAGTTTCAGCACGTACGGGAAGATGCCCACGGACAAAGCCTGGGGGAAGGAAAGAGTGTGAGTGTGCCCACTCGTGGGAGGCCTGAGCCACAGTGGTGGTGGCTGGCGTGGCCCGGGACACAGTGCGGCGCTGCCGTCAGCCCGGGGGGCAGGGAGTGGGAGCGCAGGGGCCACCTCTGGATCTCCGCATCTCCGTTCCCCGAGATGCCTGGGTGCGTTTCCAGCCCCGTCTGGTCCAGAGGCCACGGTTCATCTCATGAGGAACACCTGGCTTCCCGTCCGGGCCCCCCTGGCCTCACCCTCTCACAGCCTTGTTTGCGCTCGGTGGCAAAGCAGAGGGCCCTTAACTGTGATTCTTACATTTCAAACCACAACGCTCCTGCCCTGTTGGCTCCCACTTTCACATCTGCCCTTGACATCGACCTTCAGGGCAGGACTTGAGCCTCGAGGTGGGACAGTTTGCTGGTTGAGGCGGGGAGCCGCTGTGGGTGTCCGTGCTTCCCAGACTCTCGGGGCAGCATCATCCTGGGGGTCCTCTCTGCTCTCAGGCAGGGCGGTCACCGGGAGGGTGGCCACCTCACGAGGACAACTGAGCTGACCCCGGTTACGACGGTCATCTCAGCGCAGGTGCTCTGTCCTTATCTCCAGTTTGTTGGCATTCCAGAGAGATGGCAAGGGTGTCCCCCTACCAGGTGGGTGGAGGGGTGTGACCCAGGCTGGGTGTGACCCAGGCTGGAGGCCACTGGCGGGGCCCGCGTCCATTTCTTGTTAAAGGCTGTGTTTAAGAGACAAGCGTCCTGTGTGTGGTTCGGGCAGGTGGGTCTAGCCCACACCTGCTGCAGGGCCTCGTCTGTCTAGCGCCTGCGCCATCAAGATTTCCAGCTGGCCTAACCTTTCCTCCTTAAAGGGCCAAAATTCATTTTTTAAAAAATTCACCGTATAATAAAAATCTCTCTAAAATGTTATTAGTACTTGTCTCCCTGTCTTCCTGAAGGGCATAAGTGACACACTGTGAGCTCGTCCCTGATGACAGAGCGACACTGATTTGCAGGAGCACATGCGCAGGCCACGCAGATTGAGAGTCACACGAGACCCTCCCCAGTGATGGACGCGCTCTATGTCGTCTGCGGCCCAGGCGCCCCGAGTGTGAACTGTCCAACGGTGGATGAACGATTCCTCGTGATTCTTAGACTTTTCCTCTTTTAACCTTGGACTATCGATTCTCTGATGACGTTATATAATGAAAAACTCAAATGTGCGCAAACGGAGCTAAAACAACAGGCTACCCTCCCACTCGCGCGTCACTCCGCTTTGGTGACACGAACCCGATGGCCAGGCGCCGGCGTGCTAGCCGTGTCCTCCTAGCGCATCTGCAGACATCGTGCGTGTCACACACTTTCCCTGTGTAAACACAGTCTTCACCTCTAAAAACTAAGGTGTCTTTTGTAAAAGATCCACATGCCATTATACCTAAAATAATAAACTATTACCCTTTAATGACAAGGTATTTGGTTAATGTAAAATTTCTAATTGTTTCATGAATGTTAACTTCTCAAACTTCAACTTTCAAACGTTTATTTGCGCACAGAACTGGAAAGGTCCCTACGTTGCAGCTGGTGGCGGGTCTCCCGGGCCCCCCCACCCCGGAGGTTCCCCATCGATACCTCCTTTCCTGCTGATGTAGTTGTTGGAAAACGGGTCTCTGTCTGACCCTAGTTCTGTCCGTGTTTTCCGCTTTAAATGGCTGGTCCCACTCTTTTGCAGAATGAGTCAGCAGCAAAGTGTTTCTGGGTTGTGCTGAGCCCCAGAGTGTAAAGTCGGTGCACGGGTGTGTGCTTGGCACTGGGCCGGTGCAGGGGCACCCCGCTTCTCGGCTCAGGCAGGGGTGAGCAGGGGTGAACCACTTTCTGTCCGCAGAGGTGAAGCCTCATGGCGGGAAGAGAGGGCAGAGCACATGTGAAGCCTGGAACACTGCGGGGACGGAGGCCGCACGGCGCATGTTCCTCGAGGGCCTGCCCCCCAACACAGGCCCCCTCCGGTGACAGGTCACTCCCAGGCAGTGAGGCTATCCCCCGCCCACTTCTGGGAGTCTTGCTGGCCCCACACGTACCAGGCTCACCGCCCAGGGTCCCAGGTCCAGGAAGCGTCCCAGCAGGTCCAGGGCTCTCAGCCGGTGCACCTGGCTCAGCAGCACCTGAGGAAGAGGAAGAGGACGGGTCACCGAGGAGCCCCGTGCCACGTGCCAGGCCCTGGAGTGGGCCGAGCGGGCTCACACCTGCCCTGGCTTCACGCCGTCCCTCACCCGCGGCAGGTGCTGCTTTCTCTGCACTTCTGAGTTTTTCCTCAACAGCTAAAATATGTGCCTTGTTGACAGTATCAGAACAAATCCTTTTAAACTACATTTAAACTAGATTATCATCATCCTCGTCATCATCATTATTATTATCATCTATCACCGCAGTCCTCATCTCCTCTTAGAACTAAATAAGACACCGTGGCTTTGACACAAGGGCTTGCTGTGTCTTCTCCGGTTACGTGACCTCGGGCAAATGACTTCCTTGTCTGAACCTGAATTTCTTAATTCGCAGGAAAGGACAACACGAAACGGACCCCTGGAGGTTTTATTAGATACCGGGTTGAGAGCTGCTGGGCACCAGAAGCCCATGCCGATTCGGTAAAGACAGGTAAAAACAGCCTTTGGCCCAGAACTTCCTTGACTGGAAGTGAGGCTGATTAGCCTCTGTCGCGGGCTAGTGGCCCGTTTCCCAGGTGACACGCATGTCCTGACTTTCCTACTCAAGTGTTGGCTTTTCCTTACTGGTGTGGCAGAGCTCTTCAGAGCGCGCAACCCTCGCCCCATCTTTCCTCCTGCTCTGTTCTGACAGAGTTCAACACCTCTACTGGGTCACTTATACCGACTTATCCCTCCTGGTCTTTACACCTGAGGCTGCGGAGACCCTGAAGGAGCCTTTGGTCTGCTGTTGCCCCTAGCCACCCAGTGGGCGCTTGTGGGGTGCATGGGGATGGCGGGGAGCCCCCTCTCTCCATCGCTCAGCTACAGGGACAGACAGACAGCAACGATCCTCTGTGATGGTGGGCAAGGCTGCGAATCATGCAAGCCCCCCAACTTGGGGTGCAGCCAGATCCCGGGGGGAGGTGGGGTTCCCGGGGCAGCGGGCAGAGGGGAGGGGAAAGCTTGGGGTGTCTGAAGACTGGTCGCAGGCTGGGGGTTCCTGGTGAGCCGTCCAATGGGGTTGCTGCGGGGAGGGACTGGCTAGAGCTGGATCAGGGGTGGAATGGGGTGGATGTGACCCTGACTGATGGAGAGGAAGAGACCCAAGACCACTGGGGACGTGACCATAGGACCTGATGGCTGAGCAAGAAGGCGGTTCGGGGAAGGAGACTCTGGAAGAGAAGGTTGGGAATGAGGCAGGAGGAGGACGGGAGGACCGGCCGGCGAGGGCGGCCAGGTGTGCCATCCCGGGGTGGTGCTCCTGGCGGAGGAGAAGCTGGGTAGAGGCATCGGTGAGGGAGAGAGGGCTCCCCTGGTGTCACCTGCTCCTACAGTTGATAGCAGGACCGGGAAGACGACCCCTGGGCACAGGGTGTGGATGGTGTTGGGGTCGGGCGAGGACGCAGAGTGAAGCAGAGTGGAACGGAGTGGGGGTGAGGAGATGGGGCAGCCGGGGCTCCCGTGAGGGGTAAACACGGGCCAGAGGGAGAGGTGGGGAGGGGTCCCGAGAAGGACAGGCAGCCCAGGGCCCGGGAAGTGTGCAGGAGAAGCAGCCGCTGGCCACGGCCCCTGGAATGCCGTCTTTCCTTGCCAGCACCTGCCCCAGACCCACGTCCACGCCTCTGCCTCCAGGCAGGTGCGGTTACCCAGGGGTGCTGAGTCTCTGAACAGGAACCAGAGAGGTGATGGGGTACCCGATCCTCCTCTCACTGGACTCGTGGCTAGCACGTGCCACTGGGGCCAGACACTCGGGTCAGGAGGGCGCCGTGGGCGGGAAGGCGTGGGCTTCGGGCCCCGCAGGCTTGGTTTTCGTCCTGTCATTCCCTGATGGTGCGGCTGAGAGCTCGTAACCTCCGTAGCCTTCTGTGTTCTCAGCCGCAGAGGGGCAGCGGCCACACAGGACTCATGCTCATTTCCAAACCTGAGTGAGACGAGGCCCGCGGCAGTGCTCGGCACGTGCTGTCCACCACGAGGGTGCGTCCTGGACGCTGGCCTCCCTGCGCGGGCACGCAGCTCGGGACGCCTCCTTGTTCACAGGCCACTCATGGCCTGTCTTTGTTCTAAAGGAAACCAAGCCGCCCGAGGGGCTACTTTCCAGGCGACCCAGGCTGAGCCGGGCCCGGAGACTGGGTTTGGGAGCGCGGACACAGTCTGCCCTCGATCAAGGCGGCCCGCGACACCCCTTCTTCTCTCCCTCCAACAACACGTGGGTCCTTCCCTCCCCATCTGGGGCTTCTCTGCGGCCCTGGCCATCCGAGGTGGAGCAGACAGCGATGTCACGTCCACTGCGAGACCGCGAGCCCCTCCCCTCTTCCTTCCTACTCCTTCTATTTATCCTTCTAAGAGGCAAAAGACCCCGGGGCTGGTCAGGGAAAGTTACTTCCAAGCTTTCATTGACAGGAGGGACTGCCAATCAGGTGGCCTGAGAAGATACTTCGTTTGACTCTGAAGGTCATCAGCTAAAGCCTCTGCGTCTTCGGGCACAGAAAATTCCCTCTGGCTTGTGGGAAAAGTAGCAGGGATTGGAAAAGCCACAGAGTCTGCATTAAAATTCTCCTTCCTTAAGCAATACTTTCTGACTTGCCAAGGCCCTGGAGGATAACTTAGGGGTGAGGGGTCCAGGCTTTGGCAAAAATAAACCTCCTTAAGAGAAAGCGGGGTGAAGTTAACTGAACTAATGAGAGGGAAGCCAACCCCATGGGCTCCAGCACACGAAGCCGGTGCCGTCTGCGCTCCGTCCCTCCCTGCTTGTTAAGGAAAGGTTCCCGCATCGATCCAGGCCGGGCACAGCCCAGGAGACCGCCTGCCAGGATGACGCAGAGCCTGCTGCTTCCGGCTGGTTGAGGGATCACACACAGCATCTCCCCTCCGCTCTTGTCAGGCGCTGCCCCTCCCTTCGGCACTGGCAAGTTGGATCTATCGAGGCCTCTCTTTCCCCAAGGGAGTGTGGATCGTAAAGGGAACATTAAAAAGAAAGGTCGACAGCAGGCCACGCGCAGCAGGCCTGTTTGCAGAAGCCGGATCTGACTTCCTGGGCTCGGCATCACATCCCCGCTTTGGAAAGGACGGATGTCACTCGGCCGCCCCATGGAAATCACAGGAAGGTCAGTGGGACCCTCACAGGTGAACATGCTGGTGACCCAGGAGGGCTGGAGCCCAGTGTGTCCCACCTGTGCCACGGCCACCGCTGGAAATGTGCCCGTTCACAGCCGGCCACCGCGGGCACGCGCCGAGGGAGGGAGTGCTGGCAGCCACCACACGGTCAGCCGCGTCTTGTCTTTACGACAGATTCTCTTTCTTCTTAGTCGTTTTGGCTTCGAAAATGTGTTTGTTCACCGCTCACCCTGCGAACTCGGGGTAGTCCCAAGTAATCTGGAAGCTAGCGATCTCTGCGCTCAGCCATAATGCACACGGAGCCGAGACCGGTCCCGTGGCTACTCCGGACCCCTGCTCGCCTCTGCGGCCTGCCTACCACACTTCCAGCACCCAGCCTCCCAGCCCCCTCTGCCACCTGAGGGCCCCGGCGCACAGGCCTGGACGCGGTGAAACCTCGGTTCTATGGCCAGCAAACGGGTTTCCAGGGCCTGCGGTGCGGTGGACCCCAAGGTGGTCGACCGTGCCTCCCCCACAGACACAGCCTCACCGACACACTTCTGGGAAAACGTTCTCCTCGTCCCACCTGGGAGGAACGCTGGTACTCTGCCACCCTCTCCTGTCTGACGTCTTCAGCCAAATAAATCAGCCGAATGAGAGCCACGACACTGAGCTTCCCAGCCACTAGTGGGCCGTGGCTTCTGTGAGCACGGACATGGGCCATGCGAGGGGCTGGCACAGGCCTCCATGCAAGGGAGGACGGGGCTTTGGGTCCGGGCTGCCCGCAGTCCACGGGCGCCTGGCGAGGGGCCACGGGGGCCGTCTGTGAAGGCTACGGAGGTTACGAGCTCTCAGCTGCACCATCAGGGAATGACAGGACGAAAACCAAGCCTGCGCGGCCCCGAAGCCCACGCCTTCCCACCCACGGCGCCCTCCTGACCCGAGTGTCTGGCAGCAGTGGCACGTGCTAGCCACGAGTCCAGTGGGAGGAGGATCGGGTCCCCCATCACCTCTCTGGTCCCTGCCCCTTCCCCCGGGGCGTCTGCAGCTCTCGCCCTTCCAAACAGAATTGCTGAGGGCACGGAGCACATTTGCTGCAGCGTTCCACGGGTCCCCTGGGAGGGTGGCTGACGGCAACCCAGATCGGTGTTCAGGGGAGAGTGGGGAGGGGACCCAGACGTCCCCAGAAAGCCCTTCTGGAGTAAGTCCACGGGGGGACCCAGCGACTTCTGAGGGATCTGACTGATGTGCCCTAAGAGCCACCTGCCGAGGGCACAGCCACGGGCCTCGCACACCCACACACACATCCCGGGCTCCGGCTCCTTCGCTGGAAGGCGCTCACCTGCAGGACGATGGGAAGCTGCTCGGGCGGGCTCCGGTTCTCCACGCCCATCGTGAGCCACACCTGGAAGGCAGTCAGCTGCTCCGCGAAGAACGGACTGTGCTGTGGGACAGGCAGGGCGCGTCAGTTAGGGACCCGCCGCTCCGAATCAGCTCCGCCCTGGTGCACCCGTGCTCCCGCGAAGTCAGCTTGCATCACGTGAACCAAACCTGGGGGGACGGCCTGCGAACTGGGATGGAGCCCCAAACTGGCTTTCCTGTTTTTAAGTGTGAATTAATCACAAACTGATTAAAAGCAGCGGCCTTGTTAAGCTCTCCCTCCCCACACGGGGGAGACCGCTGGTCCCCGAGGGACGCTCAGGTCATCCACATCATTGTGGCTCCTTTCCCTTCCTTCCGAGTTAGTTTTTGAATCATGTTTGTTCGCATGTTGCTGCCGGCTGGAAAAACTGTTCCACGCAGAGAGGACAAGCATTCCTCCTCTCTTCACCCAAAACTGTTCACAGAGGTTTGCTGTGCTGCTTACAGTGTGGGGAAGCGGACAGACGAGGGCGGCCCCCGACACAGGCGGGGCTCAGCGTTTCAAGGAACGCTCCACGGAACACTGTGAGAGCGGCCCCACGTGCATCTAACGATGGCTCGGAGCCGGGGTTCTGGGCCAGACCTCCAAGATCACCTCCCCCGCGTCTGAGCTCTGTGATGGTTTCGGGGAAATCAGAGCCCCGAGAGGGGCGTTCTGGAGGGCAGCTCACACAGACCTGGGCGGAGGCTCTGAGTCACCGGGCCGTGTGCCCACAGCCTCCCAGGACAATGCTGAGGCCACGTGGGCTGCTCCGCGGTCAGGCCACGGGTCAGATGGTCCAGCGGCCTGAAAACAGGCACAAGGGGAAAGGGTGGAAAGTGGGGGGTGGGGCAGATGGGCACGAAGAGCTGCACTTGACCACGGGGGACCCAGACGGCCTTTCGCTGTCATTGCCGTGGGCGAGGGAGTGGGTAACGGCTGCGTCCTTCCTCCTCTTCCACTCGCCATCCCGGGCCCAGACACACCTACACTGCCTGTGCCTTCCCGGCCACACGGGGACCGATTCACTCCTCACGGTGACCTCAGCACTTAAAAGAGGAGACAAAGGAAAACCGCAGTTGCCGCGGTGTTCGGACTCCGGCGCCCTGCAGAAGGCTCTTTAAGCCCCTCAAGAACGTCCGTTACCCACACTTCCCCCCACGTGCAAAGGCTCCTCCCTCTCCCTATGCCGGCAAATGCTGACTCTCATCGGGCGCCTTTCCGCTGCTGACTAGAATCCATCCTTGACCGCTGACCTTGGGAAAGTGACACACATGCTGGGCTTTGTTTTGGGGTATCTGACAGGGAGGTTTTAAGACAAAGCCAGTAATTTACAGGGAAGTATTAGAACAAAGTCATGAGTCTAGTAAAGCTGCTGCACAAAATCACCTATAAGCCCTATGTATACACAGAACACCCGTAAAGGGAATTCCGGAAGATACTGTGTGCAATCATGCTAACGGGGGGAGACTCAACACTGCAGAGGCGCCCCCAGACCGCCAATGGGTCTGTGTAATCCCCGTCAAAGCTGTTTTCATGATCAAGCACGCTCAGTACCCGTGCAAGGACAAAGTGACCCGCGGAGCAGAGCAGAGAACCCAGAAGCACCCCCATGAAGACAGCTGCCTGATTCGAGGTAAATAGCACCGGGCAGGGCGCCTGGGTGGCTCAGTGGGTTAAGCCTCTGCCTTCAGCTCAGGTCATGATCTCGGGGTCCTGGGATCGAGCCCCGCATCGGGTTCTCTGCTCAGTGGGGAGCCTGCTTCCTCCTCTCTCTGCCTGCCTCTCTGCCTACTTGTGATCTCTGTCTGTCAAATAAATAAATAAATAAATAAAATCTTTAAAAAACAAAACAAAACCAAAAACAGCACCAGGCAAACGGAACATCCGTGTGTGGAAACGTGCACCTTGAGCCCTACCTCACGCCATCCACACGAGTAAATCCCAGACGAACTGCAGGTCTGAGGGTAAAAGTAAAACAATCCAGCCTCCGGAAGAAAAAGAGGAGAACACCTTCTCAGGGGTGTTCATCTCAAAGTAAACATTCCTTAAACAGGAAGCCAGAAGTCTTAAGCAGGAGGGAAAAACTGGCAAACGGGATTATGTTAAAACAAGAAGCTTCTGTTCAAGAAAAAAACAAAACAAAACACGGAAGAAGTGAAAATACAAAGAAGGGGAAAAAAAAAAAAGGAAAGATATTCACCACGAATGACAAAGGCTTTGTATTCGGAAGATACACACAGTCACTGCAAGTCAGTAGGCAACACCGAACATAAAGGAAAAATCAAAACACTTGATCAGGCAGTTTACAGAAGAGGATATTCAAATGGCCAATGAGAACGCAAAACGGCGCCCGACAGGGCTGACGGTCAGGGAGATACAAGATGCAATCTCGGTGGGATGCCTCCTCACAGTGAGCCGGAATAGCCAAACGGGGAGAAAAGGGTAGAACACGTCAAGTCTTTACGAGGATGTCGGGCGACCGAAACACCCACGAGCTGCGGGTAGGAGCGTGAATGGACCCGGGCACTTTGGAATGCCGTCTGCCGGCACGTACTGAGGCCGACCACACGCATGTCTGGTGACCAGGAATTTCACTCCCTCGTAAGAAATTAATTAACTAATGAGAAATTAGCAGCGCCCGGGCAAGGCTGGGCCAGGCTGCAGTAAGGGAAGCATTCACCTCAAGAACAAAATTTAAGGGAGCACCAAAAAACTCAGTAATTGAGACTAAAAAACACTTTAAGGCAATATTTTTAAAAAAGTGAAAACCCATAATGAACAAAATATCAAAATTTCAAATAAGACAGCTCAGAATTACTGATTTCTCCTTTGCCCCAGGCTCCAGTGACTCGGCTTGGCCCCGGCCGGCACCATCTGTGAGGACCGCAAGCTGGTGACTCAGAGTGCCTTCTGGCCAGAGCGGGGCACGTGGCCTCTGGAGAGCCCCACACCGCGGTGAGAGCTGCAACCACGGGGGCAGACGTACCACGGAGTGAAAGCAGTCTGACGCAAAGGCTACATCCTGCCGGATTCTGTTATCCAAGTGCACAAAAGCAGGCAAGGAAGTAGTTTCTCGGGGAAAGCAGTGGAAGCAGCAGGAAGGGGCTCCTGGGGGCCTCTAACACGTGGCCGCCTGATTTGGGTGCCTGGTTACTCAAGTGTGTTCATCTTATAAAAACTCCTCAAGCCACACATTTACGGTGTGCAATTTTCTCTGTGTACGTTCTGCTCCCGAAAAAGTGAAAACAAAATAAAAACAATAGCATGTGGTCTACATCAGTTCCCCCTCCCTGTCACAATTTGGGGGAAATGATTCCCACATGCAGAATACTGATTCTAGCAGATTAGAATCGAAGTAGTGAGCTCCTCGGAAACACACCTGGCACTGGAGCGGAGGGTAACAACACGGAGCCTGTGCCGTTCGCCACACCAGTGTATAGCTCTGACCCCCTAAGGGTGCAAAGTAAAACCATACACCATAGAAAAAGCCAAAAGCGTATCAGGTTTTCCAAACGTGCTTGTGGCGACAGGCCCTGACCTCCACTGGTGAGCTGAGGCACTGGGGTGGGCCACCCAGCTGTGGTGGCCTCTGCTGTCCCTACGGAGTCCTGAGACTGCTCCAGCCCGGTCCCTGCCTCAGAGCTGAGCTCCAGCGGGAAGGGCACCCTCGGCGGACGCCAAACACACTGGTGTGGGCCGGGTGAAGGCTCTGTCAGCTTCCTCTTCAGGGTTTAAAAATGCAGGGCAGTCTGCGGCAAAACTTGCGAGCACGTTAAAAAAAACAAACAAACCAAAAAACCCAAAAAGGCAGCTGGAGGGAGGGATGGATGCGCTCCAGCAAGTGCCGCACATGTCGATGGCAGGGCCGAGCGGCGGGCACACAGGTGCCCACTGTGCGGTCCTCTTGTGGCAGTTCGTAGTCTGCAAGTTTTCAGAATGTGAAATGTGAAAAATGTCAAGGAATACAGAGGGAGGAAACAGGAGAAAAAGAGAGGGAGGTCTCTCAGCTCATCGCCCCCACTGGGGGCATCGAGATCATCTGAGCAGGTACGTGTACACACACGTACCACACAGATATACACGCACGAGCACACATGTACACAGACACCCCACGGAGACACACTTCACACATGTGCACACACATGTGTACCCCTACGCCTGACGTGAGCACTCGGCCTGTATCAACAACTTCAGTCCTCCTGTGCCCCGTCATTGGCACACCAGCACAACTCCCCTGGACCATGAGGAAACCGAGGCACCAGACAGCCAGCTTGCCCCTGTAGTCTTGGGCGGGGTCAGAGATGAAGGTGTGGGGAGAGAAGGCCCCCGGCTCCGACCCTCTGCCCCACCCTCCATGGCCTAGGCCACTTCGCTCCACTGCCTTGGCCCTCCCAAACCTGGAAGCCTCCCTGACCCTTGGGGGTCAGAGGAAGCATATGCACAGACGTGAGTGACCCTCCTCCTTCCTCAGGGCTCTCGAGGGGGCAGCTGGGTCTGGGGCACACGTGCTCAGACTCCATACGTGAGTCCTGACTGAAGACACGGAGGCCGCGCAGCCGTCGGAGCAAAGGGGGCACTTGGTGAGGGGCTGTGCGACCCCTGGTGTGTCAGTCCCCTGGCTGGGTGGCCTGGGGACCAGATGTTCCTGCAGGGCTGAGCTTTACACCCTCAGGCTCCAGTTAGGAGTCTGGGGAAAACCATAATCCATTCCAGTTAAAAGGCAGAGCCCGGAATGCAGGGTCAGGGAGCGTGCATTAAGGAAAGCAGATTGACAAGAACATCATTTTAAAAGATGACATCTCTTGAGAGCTTGCCATTCAAAATCCTGAACCCCTGGTTGATGTAATCTTTCAAACTTCTGCTAACTACACCTTTTCCCAGGCAGGCGAAGGAAATCTGACAACGCAGCATCTGGGGGGGTTCTGTGGACCAGATGCCCAGGGATGGAGCCCCCCCCACCCCCTGGTGGACCACATGATGCCCTTTGTAGGACTCACCCGAAATGCGGTGCCTTCCTCAATGATGGTGGGTAGCTGTGAGAGGCAGATGTCGACGGCGAGGTCCCAGGCTTGCCTGCGAGAGAACAGAGGGACACCCACCTCACTGAATGCTTCTCCGGGAGGGGCCCCGGCTGCGTCTGGGCACAGCCATGGCCATGGGTCCTCAGGAGAAGCAGGAAGACATCTGGCAGCCCGCTAGAGCTACTCTGTTTGTTAACATTGTTCCTCTTCAAATTTATATAAGAGCTTGGGAAAAATAAAGGGGTTCGCCTCACTTTGCACTGTAGTTTCAGCCCCACACTGGATTGCGATAGCCTGTCCACACCCACAGAGCAGCCGTGGCATCGCTGGTAGACAGTGGCAGTGGCACACACAAACACTCCACGTGCTTCATCAGGAATGGCCAGTATGACGCCAGGAGAAGGCGGGTCCGTCTGTGCACACCCATTCTGAGCAGCGCCCCGTCCTGCCCAGAGTCAGGACTGGCCTGTGCCACCACCCTCCCCAGCACAGAGCCCCAAACCTCTGCCAACATGCGCCACTCAGGGATGAGGCAGGCAGTGCTTGTTTGAGGGGACAGCAAGTCTCTCCCTTGTGTGACCCTGGCCACCTCGCCACCACCTTTCAAGGCATCAGGACCTGGCTCCTAACATGTACAAAATGGTGAGTGCACCTGCTGGCCTGGCTCTGGGGTCTGATTCCCCGGAGTCCATTTCCCCATCTGTAAGGGGTAACAATCGTGCCCGCTTGCAGGGTCCCTGGGAGACCTGGGGTAGCAGGCACGCTGGCGGGGGCACTGATGGGAGGGGAATGCTCACGGCATTCAATGTTAGTTCTAAATTGACGCGATGATCACCTCCCTTTCTCTACAGCCACAGATGGAAGCTGTGGACATGGTGGTTCCTTCGCCCCTGCTCTGCCCCATCCCTTGTTCGTGGAGACAAGATGGGGATCAGCGCACGGATCCGGCTTTCAGCATGGCCACCTCTCCTCCCAGGGAAGTTCCCGGGAGGCAGGATTATGAGACAAGTGGCTCCATTTCTCCACGTCCCCGGAGACGACCACGCCAGGAACGAAAAATGTCAACAGCCAGAAACACAGGAAACATGGAAGACAAACGAAAGCCTACGGGGCTCTCTGTCATTACTGAAATACACGGAACGCAGCCCAGCTGTCCCGCCCAGACTGAAGGAGTGCGCCTTTCCCCCACCAACCTGATTAAGAGGCAATCAGCGCGTAATCAAAAGTGCCTCAAAAAACAGGCGATAACTGGTTCCCGTATGGTCAGTAAGTGCCCAGGCTGCAGGCGACGCAGTTCTTCAGCAGCACGGAGGGACATACTGGCTCTTTGTCACACAGAAGCAGAGTCAACTACTGCAATTAAACTCTACAAACATCCTTGACTTTAATAAAAACTCTGAATTTCAAGAGGTGGATGGAAGTGTGCACAAGCTGGGCGCGGGGGGGCGTCCAGGGCACTGGCCGCGAAGCCTGGCTCCGGGCCCCAGTGGTCAGCTACAGTGGCTATGGGTGCGCCTGTGAACAGACCCTAGCGGAGAGGAGAGCCGGTGACTTGTCCTCTCAGCCCCAGCTCCGCAAGATCAAGAGGCAAGAAGCAGCCTGCAGTGAAAATGCGTCCCTCTCCCTGGCAGCTGTCCGTGGTCCTGTCTGGGTGTCCTGGCAGCTGTCCGTGGTCCTGGCTGGGTGTCGCTGGCAGCTGTCCATGGTCCCGGCTGGGTGTTCTGGACAGAATATTGGGGGATCCAGGCTGCACTGGGAGAGGCCGCCAGGCAGTCTCCTGATGCCCCCCTCCCCCCAGTCCCTCCAAAGAGTGAAAGCCCATGGAGCCCCATCAGGGCCGAAGGGGGCGACAGTCCTCCCCAGGAGCATGCTCTGCATCAGCCCCAGCTGGCCCGACAGCTCCAGAGGCGAGGGCTGGTCCCTCCCTCAGGGACCGAGTCATCAAGCAGCCCAGGACGTTTCCTTTGTTCGCAGGGACTCTGGGGGGTGCAAACATGGTAGGGAGCCCTGGGACAGGGGAGCCACTGAGCTCGCTGGGAGCAAGGCAGAGAAGCTGCTCTGGGCCATGGACAGATGGGCACAGCTGTCTGAGTGCAAGAGAAAGGGGACTTGGGCCATGGTGCGGAACATGGCAGCACTCAGGAGAACACTGAAGACCTAGGGACACCTGACGGTCAAAGGTGATGGCCAGCACACGTGGAGCTGCTGCAGGCCGGTGATCCTCTTCAGGCCTCTGGTTCCTGGCACTTATGAGGGGAAAGGGCCTGTTCAGGGGACCTGAGCTCCACGAAAGCCCAGCAGCACGAGACTGGTGCTCTCCGCCAGCATCTCATCAGTTGCCTAAAATCGGCTGCATTTTCTAGGGTAAGATCAAAATGAACCTGGAGCCTTAATTCGGGTTCTCACTCAGGGAGAGTGGGAACGTGAGTCCTGGGAAGTCTGAGGCCCTGGCGGTGGGCTGCTGGGCTCTGCGCGCTCTGGCGCCCCAGCAAGCGCCAACCTGGGAGGGTGTCTGCGTTCGCACCTCCTACAGCCCGCGAAGGGGCTGCACTGTGGCGGGAGGGGCGCAGCGACAGCCTGGCCAGCTGATCGGATCCAAGCGGTGTGGAGCAGAGGCTCCCTGCGCTGTGGGCTGCTCGATGAGTCACTGCCCAGAAAACGTGCCGTGCAGGCAAGAGCTTGGGTTTTCAGGAAACGGGCCTCGGATGGCAGCCGCCCAAGGAGGGGGCTGGCGGGGGCGCCTTCCAAGAGCACGCGGCCTCCATCTGCATGATGGCTCTGCGGGAGAGGCGCCCTCGACGGGAACAGAAAGCACAGGTTTTTACTGTGGAGAGAGGCGAGCTTTCAGGACCTGCAGAAATCGAAAGTGAAGGAGGATGCGTCCCCGATGGCTTCACATCAACTATTCCACAGGCGCCAGCGCCGAGCGCCCGTCATCAGCGCCCTGCCTGAAGCCAAGAGCAAATGCAGATTACTTTGTGCTTTAGCCTCAATTTCGGCTCGGCTTTGTTCCCTTCCTCCCGTGGCTCTCAGTGCAACCTCTCCATCACCACCCAAGGACTGCGGTCACTAGACGGCGCATTACTCGTCCTAAGTGCTCTCTCTGGCAGCTGAGGCAGCTCGGCTCTGGGCCACTGGGGATGTGCACACTCTGGCCTATTTACAAGGAGGGGGAGAAAGAGCGAGGGGCACTGTTTTTCCGTGTTCTGTCTCCAAACCAGCTCTGCTGCAAGCCCACGCAAGCAGCGAGCACCCAGTCGCCTCGGCAGAACCTGAGCACGGCTGAGCAGGGCCCTCTCCGTGTCTGGGCCTCACGCTCTCCTCCCTCTGCACCTGCCCTTCCACCTGCTCCCCACGTTCTGCGTGGACAGGAGTGTGAGCTGGACGTGTGCCGCGTTCCCAGCCACCGGGCGACAGCAGAAATGAGCACTGCCCGTGGGGCTAGCCACGGCGGGGCGGCCGGAGGCCCGGGGCCCAGCGGCTCACACTCGGGTTACATGGAAAGAGAAAGACTTCTTCACGAAGCCACGGGATTCTCTGCTACCAACGAACCTGCACTGCATCCACTAGCTCTATCCACGGCAGGGGCGGGCAGGGCAGGGCAGGGGACAGTGGCTGAGTCAGTGTATCTGTATCCGCAGGGCCGAGGCTGCAGCCTCACACCACTGCCTGGCCCGGTGTTTGCGCCCTGTGTTTCTGACCTCTGACTTCGATTTCGTCAAGAAAGAGAGATCATCACCTTCTCAGGCGGTTTCCTCCTCCTGAGACCTACAACGAGGCAGCATGGCAGAACTTGAGGTCTTCCTGCTAAAGTCAGCTGGAGCACAGGACAGTCCAGGAAGCAGTGCCTACTTAGAAACCGTCTTAGCAAATGCAGGAACCGAGCCAGACGGGGCTCACACCCGACGTCTGGGACCTGCAACCCGCAAAGGGTGGCAACAAGCAAGCCTGACCTTCCGCTCTCCTCCCGCCTGCGCGCTCACCGCATTTTCAGCGTGTGGGTGAGTGTGTGTGGGACCGAGCCTTTGTCACCACGGATGCACCCCCGGGAAGCAAAGACCCTCTGTGTGGGTCTCCTCGCCACCCCTGGGTGTGAACAGAGAGCAAGCCTTGCCCAAAGTGGCCCCACGGGAAAGCCACAGGAGGACACGGAGGTTGGTCAGTACAAGGGGACTAGGACTTCAGTCACTTTGGACACAGAACTTGGGAAAAGCATTGTAGAAACTGGGATCACTCCTAATGCGGGTGGTGGCGGGTCTACCTACCACTAATTCTCTGCGCACTCAAGGGACTTGCCCCGGCTGGAAACGCCTGTGCCTCCACATGCTTCGGCGGCAGCGACGGGAGGGAGCAGCTGTGGGAGCGCCGGCGCGGTGGGCCCCGTGGCAGGCTGGCTGCTCGTGCAGGGGCTGGGGCCACGGTGCTGCTTCGGCACAGACACCGGAGCCGGGGGGGCCTGCACTGCCGCGGTGACACCGAGGGCAACGGATCAACCAGATGACGTTTCTGGCCATGACTGCTTCGCCGCGTCCCTACGAACATCTCCTTCTTGACATCTAGAGCCTGATTTCACATTCAGCTCCTGATCCAAGTCAGTAAATGGTAAAATTTTCTACATGTAACGGGATTGACGGATGTTCACTTTCTAGCTACAGAATCAGGCTGGTACCGTTGCTAGAAAACCCTTCAAGGCAAAACGTGAGTTACACAGACACGCTCTTCCTCCTTGGAATCCCATCACCACTGATGTCTGGAAGGGAAGCCTGCAGTTTTACTTACATGGGATTTCTCAGTGTATCAGGGTAGGAAGACATGGTATCAAGCCTTTTAAAAACAGATCCCAACTGGAGAGGACCCTTGGATGTGTGCAGTGAAGCAGGACAGGCCCCAGAAGGAGAGCCCTGGCCACCACGCCAAAACGTGGGCAGGCGGCAGCACCACGCACGCCCCCCGCTGATGGCTACCAGGCTTCAGGGACCCAGGGGACACCGGGGCCCTGAATTCCCACCTCCACCCCAAGGGTGTCCGTGGTCACGGCCCCCGCAGTGTCCC